CATCCTTTGTGAACTGTCCATTTCATTAGCACATTTATCATTTATTGAGTTGTATCCCTTCTCTGTGTATTCTGGATGTTGATCATCTGTTAGATGTGTCATGAATACCATTGGGCAAATCTTGGCACCATTTGCTGAATGACTGGAGTCCTTCTCAGACAGTTTTAGCCTATGCTTGTCTCTAGAAGTGGTTTCCCCTGTTCTCACGTGTTTTGTTAGCTCCAGTCTGATGTGAAGGTGTTTGAGTTCCTTGGAGCTGATTTTCTCGCAGGGAGAGAGAGGATAGTTAAATTCTACAAGGAACTATCAACTTTCCCCAACACCACTTGTTGAAGATGTTCTTTTCTCTGTTGTGTGTTTTTGGCAGCATTGTGGCCCTAGCTGTGTGGGTTTGTTTGGGTCTCTGTTCTATCCCCTTGACCTTTGTGTCTGTTTTTGTGACGGAGGCTCCACGGTACGATGTGAAATCAGCGACTCCATGGAATTGGAATGGGATTTGGGCTGTGTGTTGCCCCAGTGGAGTGCAGAACAATGACTCCTGGGAGTGAGCTTTTGGCACTGCTCTGTTCACCTGAATGGTGTAACGCCCAGCTCACTTTTTGGCTCTGGTGTGTTGGGGGAGGGTGAGTGAGAGCTCCTGAGCCCAGTAGCACCTTCACTGTCCCTAGATGCTGTCATTCGGGGAAGGGAGTCAACAGCTGGCTCCCAAGCTCCCACCTTGTCTCAATTTCTTGAGTTCCTGGAGTCACTGCCTGTTCTGGAAGGACCAGGGTATATTGCCCCGACCTGCAGGGAATCACGCGAGCTCACACCCGGATGTGCTGCAGTCACATAAGAACCTAGAACGGAAGGGGCAGGGGGAACAAAGAAAGACAGCAAGTCAGGTTTCTGATCAAGCTGCCAATTTTTATTTTTCACAGGGACCTTATATAGGGGTGCCAAGCGGGGAGCTTGGCAGGAAGGGAGAGGTCGTTTGAGGCTACTTGCCTGATAACCAGGCCGAGGAATGTCCCTGTGCCTGAGTCCTTGAGATTGCAGGAGGTTACCAAGGTTGCAGGGTGCAGGTGTTAGATAGTAGGTTAGAAAGGGGGGAAGGGTTGCTAGGTAACCTGACCATGAAATGTATCTTTCCTTCTATAAGCTACATCATGAACCCAGACATTATGTATCAGAGGATTGAAGGTAGCTATTCTTTGTTTGTTTGTTTGTTTGTTTGTTTGTTTTTGCTTTTTTCAAGACAGGGTTTCTCTGTGCAGCTTTGGAGCCTATCCTGGCACTCGCTCTGGAGACCAGGCTGGCCTCGAACTCACAGAGATCCGCCTGCTTCTGTCTCCCGAGTGCTGGGATTAAAGGTATGCGCCACCAATAGTGTGTTTATACTGGCAGCTTCTGCCCAAGTCTCTTACAGGTCCAAGGTTACTTTTGCCATGGCCCCCAACAGTGTATGACTTTTTATGTTGAGTTTTTGTCCTGCAACTTCACTGACATCATTTATTAGTTCTAACTTACTCCTTGCAGAGGACTTTCTCTATGTGACCATGCATAAGATCGTGCCATTTGTAAAACTAGACATTTACTTCATTCCTTCTGGCTTGGGTGCCTGGTGCCTTTCTCTTATATGACCCTCTGATGTTCACCAGAAATGGAGAAAGTGTGCATTCTTTTCTATTATTTTTAAAATAAAATAAGAGCAAAAGTACCACTTTGGAGTTGGACTAGACAAACCAACAGAAGGAAAGAGCCCAAGAGAAGATACAAGAATCAGAGACCTGCTTATGTGCTCGAAAGTGTGCATTTGTCTTAAAGGACAAATCTTTAGCCTTTTCTTTTCTTTTTAAATTTGTTTGTAAATTTGATTTGATTTTTAATTGAAATATAATTACATAATTTTCCCCTCCCTTTCCTCCCTCCAATCCTTCCTATGCCTAATCTGACTCCCTCTCAAATCCTAGCCTCTTTTTCTTTAATCATTGGTGTGTATATGTTTTTTAGGGCTGGTCACTTGATATTGGATAACCAATTAAGGCACTTATCCCTGGGCAAGACAATTCTCCCGGTCTCAACAGACACGAATTCCTGTAATTCCTCATTGACTGGAGTTCTTTTCAGAGAGTTTTAGCCTATGCTTATCTCTAGAAGTGCTTCCCCCAACCCTTTTATTTTTTGCATATTTTACTAGTTTCAGGCCTATGTGAAGGAATTGATTTTTGTGTGGTGTGAGCAATAAAGATCTACTTAAATTCTACTGGCAGCCTTACAGTTTCTCCAGCAGCATTTGTGAGGAAGTTCCTGTTTTCTTTAGCACACAGCATGGGCTTTCCTGTACATGGCAGTTAATTTACTCAGGCAAATGAATATGTTGAAATACATCCACTGAATATGTTGAAAGTTTTGATTAAGCAAGAATCCTGATTTTTTCTGATGTTTTCCTACATCTGTTGAGAGGAGCATGTGTTTTTTCAGCTTTATCTATTATTAAGCTTTATTAAATTCAGTAATTTATTTATGTTGGCCTATCTTTGTAGCCGAAGCATTTGATCATAGTGTTATTTTATTAAGATATTGCAAAGCATTTTGTTGAATTACTGCATATATGTTCATTTGAGATACTAGTTTGTGATTTTTCTTATCCTATACTTGCCTGACTTTGGCAAGAGGCAATGATGGCCTTTTAAAATGGAAGAATATTCTGATTCTTGGAAAGAATGTTCTGTATATATGTGTCAAGTTCATTTGATCTACTGTGAACTTCAAGTTCAATATTTCCCTTCCATTTTCAGTCTAAAAGATTTATTTATGAAAGTGAAGATATGGACATCCATCACTGCTCTTTTGCTGTAGCCTATTTCTGATTCTAGATCTGCTAATATTTGCTTTATATATACTTGAATATATTTAAAATTGTTTTGTTCTCTTGATGAATTTCCCCGGTCATTATTGGACACTTTTTGCCTTTTGTGATAGTGTTTGACCTAAATTCTGCTCTCCCCAAAGTTGCATTCATTCAAGTGTAGCTATTCTTGCCTTTATCCCTCCCCCACTGTCTCTGTCTCTCTATCTCTCTGTCTGTCTCTGTCTCTCTGTCTGTCTACCGTCTACCCATCTATCTCAGTGCTATGCACTGAACCCAGGCCTTGGGTATGCTGGTCAGGTATTACTCCTGAGCTCCATCCTCAGCCCTACCCCTCCTCATTTTGGTTTTCATTTACATGAAATTATCTTTTCCCAGCCTTTCATTTTAAGCCTATATATTTCCTTATGGCAAAGTAAAGGGCATTGTCTAGTTGTATTATCTCTTTCAAAAATAGTTTTAGATTGTTATTTTTGAGGCACTTGAAGAATTTGTTCCACGTATGAATATAGTTAGTGCCACAAAACAATGTGCCTGCCAGTCAAGAGGATGCCACATAGACAGTGGTGGTCTCACAGAATCGTACTTCCTAGTGATGGTGTGGCCACACCCATTTGTGGAGTCACGCTCTGAAATATTTGCTCAATAACAAAATTTTCTAGTAACATATTTCTCAGCGTAGTTCCAGCCTAGCCTCTGTGTCTTGAAGCCAGGGTGTGTGGTGTCTTCAGCAACAGGGTCTTTCTATGCAGGTCTGACGGGTAACCACGAGCAATGATCATAATTTGAGGGCCTATCGGGGATTCCTAACTAAAAGGGGGTTTTCCCACATCTGCCACTGGGGTTTTCAAAAATAAACTGTAATACTTCTGTTCAAACTCTTTGTAAATCATGTTTGTTTGGGTTTTTTTCCAATTAGCTTATAAAGTCGTTGCTTTCCATGTGACCACTTTATGTATCTTCGGTTTTGGTTAACTTGCCCCCACTTCCTGTTTTCTCCTACTCTAATGCATCCTTTCAGCTTGCCATCCCATAATGCCTTCCATTTTTATGTCACATGAGCTCTGCTGTCACATCCCTCCTTAAATGCAACTTTTACTTTTAAAAAACTAAGTTTTTTTTCATTCATTTATTTAGCTCATAAGTAAAGTCATGCACAATTATGATACATAATACAGTATGTTCACAATGGGATGGCTAAATTAAACCAATTAATATGTTATATCACACATATTCATCATTTTTGTTTTGAGAACACTTAAAGTATACTATCTCACAACTTTCAAAGTATAGCATATTGTTATTATTGGAACTTTTTCTTAAGTAATTTCATCTGTGAAAGAAAATGCATTTTTCTTGAAATGCTATTATGTAAAGAGTTTAAGACATCTCCTTCAAAACCCACAGAAACAGCTGACCTGAGCAAGGGGGAGCTCACAGACCCCGGACTGACAACTGGGAACCAGCATAGGACCGACCCAGACCCCTGAACGAGGATGTCAGTTTGGAGGTCTGGTTTATCTATGGGGCTTCTGGTAGTGGATCATTATTTATCCCTAGTACATGAATGGACTTTGGGAACCCATTCCACACAAAGGGATAATCTCTCAACCTAGACACACGGGGGAGGGCCTAGGCCCTGCTCCAAATGGTATGACAGACTTTGAAGATCCCCCACGGAAGGCCTCCCCTCCCTGGGGAGCAGAATGGGGATGGGATGGGGGTTGGTGGGGGGCAGGGGAGGAGGGGTGGGTGAGGGAACTGGGATTGACATGTAAATGAAGCTTTTTCTAATTTAAATTTTATAAAAAACAAGACATCTCCTTCAAATGGCTCCAATCTTTTCTTAAAAATTACAACCAGGTGCCAAGTGTTCTTGCTTCATCACTGACTAGCTGTATGACTTAGGAAAGTTCAGTTTTCAGATTGGCAAAGTGGTGATAGCGTTAGTCAATAGCACATAACTATTAATACAGACAAAGCTTGCAAGTCCACTTCTGGCATGTATTAGCCCTCTGGTAAGTGTTTGATATATGGAACAAAAACGAAAGCACTGGAGCATATAGCTAGAGAAAGAGGGGGTAACCAGGTTTATTTGCATTTCTGTGCCTTTATAGGTCAAATTCTGAAAGTTATTTTTCATTTTTAGCTCCACCCATTCTTTAAAAAGGGCCAATTTGGAAGAAACCCTGATGAGGAGAACGTTGTAAATCAGGAAGACTTGACAACCAAGCTTGACCTCTTTAATTACCAGTCTCTGCAGAATGGTTCCAAAGCCCAAGTGAAGGTTGGCGAGTTTGTCTTTGAATCTCGAAGTGTTCACCATTTTTCCCTAAATGATAAACTGATAACTTGGGGTGAATACTACAGCGAAGTGAGTATCTTTGGAGTTGGTGCCATGAGCTAGTCCTCAGAGTAGAGCTCCTCAGAGAACAGGGTTTAAGGGAGCTGCTGAATGTCCTTAGGACAAGAGGGACCTCACTTTGCCCTTTCCAATACCAAACACCAGAACTTGCTGACCGAAGAATCATTGTAAGAATTACTGATTGGTTTTGGATTAATTCTTTAGATTTCCTTGTAATGATCAAACAGACCCTTGACCTACCTGATAAGAACAAACAACTCAGGCAGTTTTCTAGGTGGGTCATACAGAGGTCAAGGCTTTAGTGGAGGTGGCTGACTTGGGTGAAAAAAAAAAAAAGAAAGACATGGGAACAACAACAACAAAACAGTCTCTGAAAATAGGTGTTTCTGAATTTGAATTTAAAACCTATATGCACATTCGTTTCGCTTATTGTTGGAACTGCTCACCCTGACCATCTCAGTGATGTGATGAACAGAGAAGAGATGCATAGTTGTGGTCTTCTGGGGTCCTTCCTGGAGAGGGAAAATCAGTTTCTCTACTGGAATGACACTGGGTATACCAACCATACCGGGGCAGGTCTCATGTTCAGGAGTATTGGACCAACAGGTAAGGGAATTCACAAGTTTCTGTTGTTGCTGTTTTCTTTTTTTTAAAAAAATTGTTTTTTTCGAGACAGGGTTTCTCTGTGGCTTTGGAGGCTGTACTGGAACTCGCTCTTGTAGACCAGGCTGGCCTCAAACTCACGGAGAACCGCCTGCCTCTGCCTCCTGAGTGCTGGGATTAAAGGCGTGCGTCACCACATTATGGCTTGTTGTTTTTGCTTTTATATGGTTAGTTTGGCGGGTTTTGTTTTTGTTTTTCTTTGCGGAGTGCTGTTGTATTTTATTTTCTTAGTTTGCAGGGTTTGTTGTTGTATTGTAATTTTGATTTCTGTTTTGAGAAAGAGCTTAAAGTTGGGTAGGTGGGGAAGAAGAAATGACTGGGACTGATTTGGGGGGAGGATATGAGCAAAATTTATTTAAATGCAAAAATTATTTTATGTAATAAAAATAAGAATATATATATATATATATACATATATATATATATATATATATATATAGAGAGAGAGAGAGAGAGAGAGAGAGATCTTTGGGCATCAAACTCTCTAAAAGCATGTGTTGTTACAGAACAGAACAGAACACAGGGACCTGCTGAAATCTACCATGGGTGCTAATCCTGCATTTAGCCTCCTGACTGGCTTCCCTCCTCCCATGTCTCCTATACAGACTCCTTTCTCTGTCTGCTGTCCAAGCTGTCTACTCGGATTCAGAAAAACACCTACTGAAGGAAAACCATATTGCTGTTTTGATTGCCTCCCTTGCCCAAAAGGAGAGATTGCAAATAAAACAGGTATGTCTAGAAATGAGTTTGAATGTGGAAATCATACACAATGACACAGGGGTAAAGGGTAACACAATGCCTGGAGGTCATTTTTATTAATATAGCTAACTCCCTCTACTTTTCTTTTAAAAAGTTCTTTCCAGTCAGTGGTGGTGCAGGCCTTTAATCCCAGCATTTGGGAGACAGAGGCCAGCAAATCTGAGTTCAAGGTCAGCCTGGATGGCCACGAATACACAGAGAAACTTTGTCTTGAAAAAACTACCAACCAAACAAACAAACAAAAAACCAACCTGATTTTGGCCCAGTCGTTTTGTTACTATTATTTTTGTTTGAAATTGATCCCTGATATGCTGCCTAGATTGGTCTCAAACTCCTGGACTCTAGCGATTGATCCTCCTGCCTCAGCCTCCAGTATGACTACAGGGTGTGCTATGGCATCTGAGGATGACTACAGGGTGTGCTGTGACATCTGATGATGATTACAGGGTGTGCTGTGACATCTGATGGTGACTACAGGGTGTGCTGTGACATCTGATGGTGACTACAGGGTGTGCTGTGACATCTGGGGATGACTACAGGGAGTGCTGTGACATCTGATGATGACTACAGGGTGTGCTATGGCATCTGATGATGACTACAGGTTGTGCTGTGACATCTGATGATATCTACAGGGTGTGCTGTGACATCTGATGGTGACTACAGGGTGTGCTATGA